AGATGCACTGTTGTTTCAAATACCCATTGTATAACCCAGACAGTATTTGGTTTTTATTAAAGGAGGAGGGCAGAGGACCGGGGAGGAGAAGGGAGCAATGGTATCTTCCTGCGTGGGCACTAATCCGGCCAGCGGGCAACAGCAGAGCCCCCTTTCCCCCAACAGGCTGAGGCTTCTGATCAATTTAACGTTCTCTGAAGACCGTCTCACTTGAAATCAAACTCACTTACAACCTTTTCTCTGAGCAGCAGGACAACAAAATGCATAATGCAAAGGCAGTCACACAGAAGACGAGGAAGTGATTTTTTTTAAATGAATATTTTATTCATGAACTATTTATAAAAATGTGTAAAATACACTCAAATATATTTGATTTGTTGACTGTAGCTAAAAATATAAAAATATACTTAACAAATGCATAAATTAAGTTGACAATAGCGGCACAACTCTGTGTTCGCCCAGTGTTTGTTAGGAACACAAATATAAGTAATTATATAGCACATGAGAATGGAATATGTGCTGAAGATGTTTTTCAGACACTTTACTCCAGGCACTGGCAAAGAATTTATGGCTAGCCACATTTCAAAATCGTGGGTTTTTTCACTGCAACATACCGCCCTGCTGTAGAGCAATATATATTTAGCTACTTGACGTTACTTACAGTATTTCTTTAGCTTTCAAATAAACGAAGAAACAACCAAATCATCATGCATATCAATCTACCAGCATCATTGACACTGTATGTGCCCAAATTCCACAGTATTTGCTAAATTTAGCTAGTCCCATTTCCTGCCAGTCTTAAGAACCAAATCCCAGTCTGAACTAGCTGTTGATCTGCGAGGTCACTGGTAACAGACCAGTTTGCTTTGGCCATAGCGGTGCTACCAACAGGTCGGGAGATGGACTTCGTCAGCCTGAGAGGGACAGTCGAGGGCACGGGGTCCACAGCGAGCTGCCTAAGAACAGGGGTGCACCCTCATCTGCCATTCAAAGTCGCAGCCTCCTGGGACGACGGGTCCCAGAGCTCACAGCGCCAGAGCCCGAACGCCTGTGACAGGGCCATCGGGGGAGTGGTTGTCATTTTATATTGCATTACATTCGCACAAACTGCACATCTGAAGTACTGAAGGAAATCTGAATAAACGTAAGCACCCGCCATGCCACTCCTTGGTAGCGAAGCTGTGGCTGCGGTAGGCTGTATCGCTGAATGTCAGATGCGTTTCTCCGATCTGTGGCCCTGGGAGGAGACGCTGATACACTGATTAGGTGGTTATAGTTCTCGTCCCTCTAGCCCATATATTAACTCCCAGGCTGAGGAGCACGGCTAAGTGCTCATGTACTCCTACCTGTCCAGTATTTAACTTTTTGCTTTCAAAGTCAAAGCGTAAATAACCGTATATAATACATAATATAAACTTAAAGCTCACACATTTTCTTTTCTCTGTTCTACAACTGAAAGGAAATTCATAGTATATCATGGCATAAAATAATATTTCTGGCAATTTTAGGCATGTATATAAGCTGTATAAATAACTATAGCAGCAGAGAAAAATGTATAAAGTTGCACTTTTATGACATCTTCACAGTATGCCTATTTCTCTCACTCACTTTTGTGTTCCATTAGTAACAAAAAATATCATTTATCAACTCCAGCTATGCAAAATCTTTTTTTTTTTTTTTTCTACAATCGGTAGTGGATCTTGTAAATGTATTGCACAGATTAAAAAAACATTTATTGCAATTTTTTCATTATTAAATAACTTTCAATACAAAAATTTGAATTAACCTAAAAGCCCAACCCTGCAAGTGCTTCAGAAGTGGAATGACATTCTTCAGGCAAGCATTCCAGTTGACTTTCATGAAAGTACTCAGGTAGCTTTGTGGACAATGCAGAGATTCACAGGACTGGGCTCCAAGTGTGCAAATCAGCTTATGGATCAGCAACAACACTAGCCTTGCTTTATAACATTATTATTGGGAAACATCAAGAAGGGAATTCTGAACATCATTCGTGGACGTTCAAAAGAGAAACATCCTCTTCAGCAGAGGACGTCTTTTTCCTTAAGAGTTCTCTCTGTTCAGTACATAGGCTCCTTCAAGTTCACTCTTGTTACATTCACAATTTCCCATCGGTCCTGTTATTCAGCTTAGAGGCACAGTAAATACAATTAATTATACTGATAAGTAGGTGTCTTATATTAACAAAATGCTACATAGATACTTTTTACTTATTCTCAGTGGATTTACACTGGTTTCATATGACCAGAATTGGCTAGAAAGCAGAACCAGAGCAATAACGTGTGTGTACAGTCTCACGCGTGACCTGGCCAGGCAAAGATGTAAAGCTGCTCAAGAGCATTGTGCCAGAGTGCTTAAGGTCATCTGTCATGTTATTAAGTGATGAGGAGGAAGAGGCTTATGAACTCTGTCCATTATTAGCTGAGAAAAAAGATGAAAATAGCTATCTGCTACAACATCATCATTTTGGGTGCAGATCTGTGAACTCTGTAGGTGCGGAGGAGGGAGCTAAGGAATAATGTTAAAATAAAGAGCAGAATGATGCGTGTCTTTCCGAAAATGATGAACAACGTGCATACATAGTATACAATCAGGCTTTTGCCCTCAGATCATATATTATTGAGTGAGTTCCATTTCCCTCAGCATAAAAAATGACACAGTAATATATAGCATGAGATAATTTATAGGGTACATTTGGTACGTCTTCACAGTGTAATTGTACTGCCGGTAACTAACATGGTGATCTTCATTCCCCAGCTACCGCTGCAAAAAGAAAGGACTAAATGCAGCGCACGTAACACAATGGCAATTTTCATGATGCCTAAGTTCAGCTGTTATTAGCAAGGTCAATGATCGATCTAAAGCTGCCATGCTTGTTTGTCCTTGCTTGCTAACCTACAATCTATCTAGCAAAGGAAATAGAGAAAAAAGGGGCCTGCAGAAAACTTGCACATTTTGCTTGTGGTTTCACTCTGTGAAAATGGCTTCCACTATAATGCTAGTTCCCTTCTTCTTCAGATCCCGCTAAGAATGGTGAATTTTGAGGTTTGTCTAGGGCCAAAGAGGATGTACAAGAGGAATAAGCAGTGTTTTCATACAGAGACACCTAAAAGGTTAACCAAGCTTACATGTTTGAGCAGCTGTGAAAGCTGATATGAAGGGTGGCTTCTGAGGCATGTGAGGATATTGGGTCAAGAAAAGATGAGACTCCAGATGGAGTAGGGAGGAAGAGGGACTATCAGGCTGTTTCCTTCTCTCTAGGAAAACCAGAGTGACATGGATGTGCATAGTCCTGCTGGTTCTGCTTTGGAACGATTTAAGAAAACTATGTCAGAGCTGCCTTGCAGATTTCTTCAGCCACTGTCAGGCAGGTGTTCCTACCGCAAGGAGAGTGTGGCTCCAATAAGTCACGGTGAAATCACAGTAGTCTTGGCATAGGGCCACAGCAGTTCCTCCCTTAGGCACTTAGGTTTATTGGCTGGTTCCCTGGAGGCCTTCAGAAATATCTATTTCGCTCCAAAACAGAAGTGGAATTTAGGCACTTGTCTTCAGCAGCAGGCTAAGTTTTCTCTAGGTAAAGTATGGGTAGATATATAAAAGGAGAACTATCAAGCCCTTCCTTCTTCTTGTGATGGTGAAGAACTGTGTACTGCCTCTTCCCTATTTGTCTGAAGAGCATTTTATGAAGACAAAGAATAGCTGAACAGAGTGTTCAAATGAGAAGCCTCTTTGCAGAGGACAGAGGATGTGCCTAATCCGCTTGGCTGGGCAGGATACCTGGTGAGTGCTTTTCGACTGCACTTCTCGCTAATCACTAAATGCCAGCCCTGCCAGCCTACATCCCCTGGCTTACTGATGAGCCTTTTCCTATTCCAGCTGCCCTTGTGGTGATGACATCAGGCAACATCTAAGTGGAGGAGTCTTTCTATGCGGACATGCTGGAGCCATGCTTTCCCTTTGTGAAAGCAAGTGGCATTTGAAGGACACCAACACTTAGGCCAAGGCAGCTATACTGCAAGCAGCTTAAGGCTGAAGCCAGTTGTGTAAACTGTCGGATATATACCTTTACATGTCTTTATTTCAATACGTTTATAATCTCTCTATTTTTTTAGCTGTCATGGTCCAGCATTGTTTTTAATGAGCTCTGGAAGTTGCCAGACTTCACATCCTTACAGGTGGTCTGTTAACATGAATGTCTGAGGTGTTTCCTTGAACACCTTTCTTATTATAATTGTACGCAAGTGAAAATGCACAGACACAGGCTGCGGTCTGATTCTGCTCTCTTAAACCAGTGTAAAGAAATCAGAATGTGACCTGTCTCCCCTCAAAGCATGTGTGTGGGGGAAAGGTCTGCTAGACTTCACGGCAGCATGTGTTGTTTGATATTTTTCTACTATGTCACATTAGACTGAAACAGTTGCTTCTAGTGAGGTGGACCCTGTTTTGCTTTGCTGTTAATGAGTTCTGTAAAAGGTATGTCATTGTGTTATGGGTTATACCCATTTTCGTCAGATCACAAGCAGTAAGTTTAAAGTGTAGAGTAGCATTGTAATTCCTATACAGGACTACTGTTCCCTTGCTTAATAGTAGCTTATTTCTTCTCACAAACACTGAACTAGTTAAAAAAAATGAGGTTCTCCTTATAGGATTTTTCCTGTGTGTTACATGCCAATACATAACCTGCCCCAAACGCAGCAGTCCTGTTAGCCATACAATTTAAAATAGTTTATGTAGAACAGTTCATAAAAACTGTGATAAGAAAAAAATAGTATTATCTGAAGCTTAATATTAATATAAACAATATAGAAAAAATACATATTTACATAATGCCAAAATACAATTATATACATTAATATCTATTACACTTAAATTATATATCTTTAAAAAAAATCACCAGACCAATAAATTATACACAGTCTCAACAGAAAAGTCTGGCACCTTTCTAGTGCATGAAATACATACATAAAAAAACCCAAAACAAAACCCCTAGTTAACAAATGTGGTCACAAAAGCAGTTGTCTGTAACATTCTTAGTGCCTTGAATAAACAGCATCTGAAAGCAAGGAAAAGTGAGATTAGAAAAAATAAAACAACCCAGGCGGCTTCATGTTCAGCTCTGCCAGCTGTGGTCTACAGTGCTCTGAAAGGTGGTTGTGCAGCAGCAGCACTGGCTGGTGACTGATGTGACAGCTAAAGAGCAGATCCCACCTCTGCTTTTGCTAGCACTCCCAACTTGCGGAACCCCAGTTATTTCAGTCCTTGGCCTCCTCCAATCCTGCTCTACCTGTTGATGACAATTCTGATTTCTATGTCTAGATCAAGAAAATTATTTTGATCTCTCATCATACAATGTCAATTGCCAATGCCCAAATTTGAGGAGCTACTAAGATCCTCCTGTCTGACTCTGAAAACTTGCACAGCCCTTAGGAATCAGCTCTACCAGGACATACAGACCACCTCTGCTTACGGCTTCTCCAGACTGGTCCTCCAGCCATGAGAACAGGAGGTGAAGGGCAGTGCTAGTGCCAGGTTTGCTGGTCCTGCAATTCATACCTCCAAAGGACTGGGTACAGGCAAGGGAAAAGAGCCTATAAGGATGCAGAGTTCTGGGAGGAGGAAAGAGCACAGCCTTGGACACCTACATTATCCAGTCAAGCTAGATGGGAAGTCTCCTAAGGCCACCTACACAGTCAACAGAAAATGAGGGTGATTCAGGACAGAAGCTGAACACCATCAATGACAGAAGAGACTAGCGAGCCCAGCCAGTGGCCTCAGTGGGCTTACAAGTGGGTGATGTCAATGCTGGCGAGGTAAAGGGTGAAGGCAATATCACGATAGGAAGGAGGTTCACTTCCCCCAACAGCACAGCAATCATGAAGTGCGAGACAGGGAGAGCATGAAGGTAAGGTAGGAGCAGGAAGAGACATTCTAGTGACTACTAATGGAGGAAATAAAGATGCAAATGCAAGAGTGACAAGAGCAGAGCAGTGAAGAAATGAAGGTCCAGGAACAGAACAGATATCGATGGCAAGGGATAGCACAATTTGCTCCCTCAATTACATTGTCAATGAGCCATTACATTTGAAACACTTTACAATTTGCTAAACTTGCACCTACCTCTGTGATACTCTGGATTCACATTTTCATATATTGGAAACAAGGGATTTTCTTGTTCACTGCGAAGTTTTCTGGCTCTTAACACATCTCTCACACATTGATGTAGATATACATATTGACACTGTAAAAGAATTTTTTTTTAAGTCACTCTGGGAAATTTTGTAATTTAATTTTCTGTATTGTGAAAAATCATTACAGGCCAACTCCCCACACAAAATCAAGGGTGATGTTAAAAATTAAAATATGCTTCTAGAATTAATGTCCTTTTCACACTAGTAATATAGTAAACTTTTGTGATCACCCAATCACCTGTTTTTAGAAATGCTACCAGTAAAACATAAATGAATATAATATGTTTTGACGGATCATTCATGAGTGAAACCTCTATCAACTGTAAGGCATAATTTGACATGATGCTGTGTTGGATAGCTACTACTTCTGAATGCTTTGGTATAAAGTACATGTAACAATTAATATGTACAGGGAAGCACACAGAAGAGACAAACAATTTCCTGATTTTTTGTTCTGAACAGAAGTGTTTTCCACAGAATTTTATCACAATATATAAATATTTCATAGAACTGATGAACCCAAATTTTCTGGCAAAAGCAGTATTTTTTTGATCCAAGTTGTAAGTTATAAGATTGCTTCTGACTATGCGGAGAATGACAGACTGTCTTTTCTGAAGAGTGCCTTTCATAGAAGGGAGCTAAGATGACATTCACAACCAAAGTAGGGAGGGTCAGCATGTTACTGACTATCAAACTACCTTGATAGAACAGATTGTTAAATCCCCATGCTTTGCTACTCTTTGTTGTTTATGACATGGATCATTATAATTTTTGATTAGTGTAGCATGGTACCCCAAAATTAGGCTGAGCATCTTTATATATCAAGGTGTACCTTGCTAATATTACTTTATCTCAAAGGCATACTTTCTCCAATAAGCATATGCATTTTCTCCCCCAACCTAACTTGTTTTTCACAAGAGCTACTGCTCTGTGCATTTTTCTCAGTGCTCTGGATCTGGGAAAGTGAGGACATCTGCTGTTATGAACATATGGCTGCTGCCTCTGTGGAGCAGAATCCTGCACCCTACCCACCAATTCGGTGGAAAGCCAGCCAGGGCATAGAGACTTCCTTTGGTAGGGACCATTTGGGACTGAAATGTTGGACAGCTTCTCTGCCCATGCTACAGTTGCTGTGCTGAGCCCACTGCCTTTTGAGCTGATGGACACAGTTTCCTCTCACTCCCCTGCATGTCTCCAGCTACAGTCTCTGCAGCCAAGTCTGAAGCAGGGCCAGTGTTTTGTTGCTGCTCTTTTACTGTGACTGCATAATGTCAAGTATTATGTGCTGTGACCTTTGGCTGGAGCACCTCATTGCAAACAGTCTTATCTGCTGGCCTGTGCTCCCCAGTGGGATTTGGCTTCCACCGCATCAACAGATGGGGACCTAGCTTTTATCTCAACCCCTAAACAGACTGTGGAAGCCAAGACATGAACGATAACACCAGGAACTAGGGTCCTCACACATATCAAATGGAGTTTGTGGAGCAAATCTTTTCTTCCCCCTCTCCCCACCTCCTTCACTTTTTCTTAAAAGGTATGTAAGAATTAATTCATAATTCACTGCTCATTGCAAACTTTGAATCACCATAAAACTCCAGGATAAATTTACGTCATTTTCTTGCAGGAGGATGAGAGATTGTATGGCTTGTGCTCCAAGCTACCTTGATGAAAGGCAGTTCCAAATCAGAAACCATATACAGATGCAACTGACAGTTCAGATTAGTAAAATGTGCTGAGAATACAGCAGCTCAGTGGCTGTGCACTGACACAGCTACACGGTCAGCCTACAAGCATGTTACAGCTCAAGTGGAGTGAGTATGCATGAGCTGCAAAAGCTTTCTGTCCCTGTCTCTGGGATGCTGGTTGTGGATTCTTCCAGGGGCAGGACTGGTTACACCAGCGATCTGGGTAAGACTTGAGCCACTGCTGGTTTGGGGCAGGAGTGCATGTAGTGCTGGTAGTAGCATAGCGGGGTGCTTCTTGCTATTGCTGTAGATATTTTGCTTGGGTCTGGCTGCCTTTTGACTTAGATGTCATGTCAAGCTCATCTCAAAGGTGGGCTTTGTATCACACAAATGTAGTTGTCTATAAGCCTGGTGTCAAATTTAGGCTCTTGAGGTAGTTGCCTCTTTTTTCCAGCTAAGGAAAAAGAGCCATCCTCCTGAGATGCCTGTCTGCCTTTGCTGACTATGGCTGATGGGAATGTAGAATGTGAGATGGATCTGTCTCTGAGGATGCCCAGACCAAGCTAAGAATCTGTCTCCCCTCCAACAGGAGGTCTTCGGTGACTAAGATAGTTCCAGGAAATCTCTCTTTTGCATTCCCAGTTGAGCCTCTCTTTATACCCATGTGTGACTTTTACATCTATCAGGAAGTGCTGTCACTGATATTTTCCTTTCCAAATTGCAACAAAGAGCTCCATTAGTATCAAGCCACAGGCAGACCCATCAAACTTGTTCTGATTTGTCTATTAATGGCTCACAGGGAAAATGTAAAGACTGCCTCCACAACTCACCTTTATTAAATCAGCTCCTAAGTGTTTAGCTGCTATTAGTGTAAAGTGATTTTCTCGCAGTTTTAAAAGCATAGAAAGAAATCCCAAACATGTACTTTTTCTGCACTTCGAGAATAAATGTACTTGCTTTTGCATAGTATGTTAGGAGAATGCTGATCAGCTTTCCAATACCATTAATGAAAATGACAGAGCAGCTCAATAAAAAATGAACTGCAAAGCCACAAGGTCACAGTGCTTAGAGTTTTAAAATTATGTACATCTAATTTTCTCTGCCCTCCATTCCTTTTCCCTATTATGTTGACCTATCTGTCTGTTTTAGGCTTGTATTCCAAACCCATCCCTGAAGGACCTATCTCTGCTCAAAGCTCATTTCCTGGACGCTGCACTAAAACAACAATGGGCTGTTAAGCGTCTGCTGCATAACACTGCTGGGGTGATTGTGGGCCAGTGCCAATAGGAGAAATCTATAGGAAACATAACTACCACTTGTTATGGTTTAGACCCACTGTATGAGAGCCAACGGAAACAATCCTGAACTAGAAAGTCTCACAGAGCTAGAATATATCTAACTAGTATTTCACAGTGGAGTTACTGTGAAGTGCTTGGAAAGCCTTTAAGATGAGAGACTGATTATTATATACTGCAGCTGGTGTTGCTGTACTGTACGCTATCCAAAACTTACCTCTGTCTGAACCATGTGAACCCGGTGAAGCCTTAGATCATGTACTGCTGCATAAATGTCAACAGTGTCCTTTGAATCCAGCTGCTGCAGAATTCGGTCCAGTGCGATGAATGTGCCAGTCCTGCCAACACCAGCACTGCAAAAGAAAACAACCCAAAAGATTTAAAAGGAGATGGATCAAAGCATTCACTATGTTCATGTGATACTTTTGTAAAGTTCAGATCTCCAGGGTGAGAAGCTCATTGTTCAAACGGCATCTCTGGGACTTCAAATACTTTATGGCAGAATTTGTTTAGGAAGGAGGAAAGGATAGCGATGGTAGAGGTATCTCTGCTACTGCCCATACTGCTTTCTACTTTGGATTAATTCAGTCATTGAGATACACTGAGAAACTGCACCTGACTGTAACTTTTAAACTTCTCTCCAGGGATGAACCAGTAGGTTTGATTCTACAAGATAAGTTGGCTTGTGCCTTATGAAAGGGCAGAGCAAAGCAAAGTATCCCAGAGTCCCCAGTAGCTGAAACGCTGGGAGGTGGGGTTTAGAGACGGGAGGCATGGAAGAGGAAAGTTGATCTGCCACTGATACAGCAGACATCTGACATGTTGCAGCACATGATGTACAGGCAGACACAGGTGGGGTCATGTAAGATATGCACCTCAGCCCATATAATGGGTGCAGCGGTCAGATACTACGTTCAGGTAGTACCAGTGAGCATATGGCTTTATCAGAAGATACATGCAGCACCACACTGCACTCTCTCTCTCTCTGTAACCCTATATTCTGCTGCAGCTGGCCAGTGGATCACGGATCAGGCAGTCCAGTTTTGCCTTTTTTGTATACATGTGTAGGGGTGAATCACGGAGCAGAAGAAAAACTGCAGCCCTGTGGCTGCCAGGGATGGCACAACTGCAGAAGAGCATGCAAAGGCAGTAAGGAGACGGAGCCTCAGTCAGAATGGGGGAAAGGATGGATGTGCCAGCCAGTCTCAACATCCATGCACAGCCAGATTCACCTGTGGGTATATCTTACCTTTTCAGAACACCCCTTTGTGATGCAGATGTTGAGCCACAACAGCAGCACACAGGCAATTTAAGAATGCAAAAGCTTATGAGCAGTGGCAGCTGCTGACACCTTTAGTGCTCTCCAGTGGTCCCACGGAGACACAGTGGTTCTCTGAGAATCATTTTTGGGGCATCTCTAGGGTGAGGTTGTGAGCGAGTGCATGTGCCTCGGGAATGCTGCTCTGATGTATCTGGAGACTTAAGCCCATCAGCTATCTCTCAGGTTCTGTGGCTGCCCATGGACTAACCCAGATGAATATTTGGGATCTTTTCCAGGGTATGCACAAAGGCTCTGTGCCACTGACCTTTTGCTGCTGCACATACCTGCAGTGCACGATAGTTGGTCCTGTGTCTGGGGTCCTGTTGATATAATCCCTTACAGTTCTGACAAACTGGATCAGGGACTGGGTGGTCTCTGGCACACCATGATCTGGCCAGACAGTGTAGTGGAAGTGACGAATGAGCCTCGTTGAGTCAAGCTGCTCTTCCTGTTGGGATACAAAAGTGTGGGTCATCAGAACAGATGAGAGAGGAGGGGACACACATAACATGCATCTTCAGAGCAAATGCTACAGCTGCCACCAGAGATGAGCTGGGCATGATGCAACTGTGCTACAGCAGAAGAAATCTTCCTAATTTAGCCTTGCAGGTGTTTTTAAGCTAATTAAAAAAAAAAAAAGATGAACATAAACGTACACTGCAGATTTTAAACTCTCGTATTGTCCATTCTGGGAGCACCGATTCAGACAGCATCTCAACGATCAGGTCTCCATAGTACAAGGAATCTTGGTCAAGGGGCCAGTAGTGATCACACTTCACCTGCAGGGACACAGAAAAAGACAGATTTAGTGTCAGTAAGAGCTGTAAACAATGCCTCCATCCAGCACTGGCAGAAGCAGACTTCAGACCTCCTGTGCCTGAGGATGAAGGAAGAACAGCAGCAGCTGAATTCAGAGAGATGCCACCCCCTGCCATATCAGCTCAACAAACAGGGCTTGGAATGGGAACGGGCAAGGGAGGGGCTGGGAAGTGGAAGTTCTCATCATAGAAGTTTGTGATGGGGGGGAATGGGAAGTACTTCACTGACGCCCTCTTCTGGATGCCACAACATTCTCTGTGCCAACGCTTCTCAGAGCTCTGCTTGGATGACAGCTAGGCCTCCACTGCCCACTTCCCCACCTCTTGCTGAGATATGACAGTGAGGTCGTACTCAGAGCCAGTGAGGTGCAGGAGGAGACAGGTGGCTGCCTGTCCGGCATCTGCTTTCACCATCTCGTCAAGAAAAAATGGTAAACTGAAAGGAAATATCCCCATATGTGCCACTAGATGATCACTTCAAGTTGGTTTAATCTTTTTACAGACCTAGTCCCTGTCTTACAAAGGGTGCAGGATGTGGTCATACTTGGGGAAATGGATTGCTGAGACAGCTCAATAACCTACCTACACTTGCACTCAGTAAGACTGCTCAGTGCATGAGTGGTGTCTTTGCTTACTACATCAGGGCTTATGCATCAGAGAGAATTCCATGTATTTAATGATCAACATTTGCTCTCTGGAGCTTATATTTAAAGTAGTAGTTGATTGGAGTTGATGTGATAAATATGCATTTTTTGCTGGTGGTTGTCCTTCTGTATGCTTAAGGGGATTATATTAGTACTAGTGAGCAAAGTCCTGGATTAGAAACCAGAAGCACTGAGCTCTGTTCCTAACTCTAGCCTTGACATGCTGCATGATCTTGGGATGTTCACTGCATCCTCACTTCACAGCCTTAATTTGTTACCAGTCTTTAGATTATACCTCTTCTCTCTTACTGTATATCTCCTTGACTGGGGCCTTTGGCATTAGTGTGATGCAAATAATAAGGATAAACTTTTATTAGATGTTAAAACAGTCATTAATAATAAAAAAGAGTCATTGCTTACCCGGCCCTTCTCAACACACTGGGTTACCATGACAATATTGTGAACATTTTGTTCCCATGCCATCTTCCAGAACTCATCTTTGGTACCAGGCAAGGGGCCCTGAGTCGCTATGTATTCCCTGCGGAAATTATTGCCCTGCAAGTAAAGACAACTCCCATTAGTTTCCATAAAGGCAGAAAAAAAAGATCTTCAA